CTTATGAAAAAATATATAACCCTAAATCTAATCGTATGATAGTTATAAATGGGTCAGTACAGTCAACGACCAAAATTATGTGAACATTTTGATTTATCAAAATTAGGCAGCTCGATCTTTACGTGATTACATAATTAAAAACAATACATTCTTTTTTACTTATAATGATAAATAATACCCCAAACCTTTTCTCTTTTAAGTAAGTTCATGTAAAATATGAAAGTACTTACTCCCAAAACTCGTGTTGCTATTGCTTATGTTATAAATGTGAACAGTCAGGTTATACTATAGCTAAACAACTAGAGAGCAATAAAACGGCTGTTTATATTATTCTTAGACGTCTTTGCGAAACCCAGTTCTTTAACACCAACTCCACCACCATCTAATATTAAAGTACTTGAAAGTATTTAAAGGATGCATGAAAAGATATTCCTTTAGAATATTGCAAAAAACTGATTGATATTATACCGTAGTGAATTGCTGCAAATGGAAATAGGATTAATTATTAAACCTTTTTATAAATCAATAAATAAAGATATATTTGTATTTATTTTGTTAAAATATTATTTTATTTTATTATGTGTATATAATTTTTTTTCGATTTTAAAATGTTCGCATAATTTTGGTCGTTAACTGTATATCATAAATTGCTACTCGAAGGCTATATGCATTGGAGAGAAGAAAGGCTTTTGATTCCGCCTTTACATGAATTACCAATACTAAGAAGATATCTTTCTTTCATCTCCTATTGTATTTGGAACATTGTATCAGAAAGAAGTTTACTAACAGTGGTTAACGAAAAAATAAGCCTATTACAGATTTTACTCAAAGCTAATTGGCACAATCTCACCTTATGCCAACTATTAAATTATGTTGGAAACGTAAAGAGATGAAAGCTTGGAGGAATAACGTACTTATGAAATTTCTCCATCACCCAAATTTAGCTTTATCGAAGCATAGACCAAGTGCTTTATATGATGCATTCACTAAAATAAATGTTTTAGAACAGGAACAAATATTAGCTCTAGCGCAAACATTTTACTAAAACGTGATTATAATACAAATTTATTCATAGCCTTGGAATGGAGGTTCTATGACTATGTATTTTTTTTCGCATATCCTATCTACCCATAATTTTCAAATATATATATAAAAAATATCCTAGCCAAAGCTCATGGCCTAATAAAGAGCCTGCAAAAAGTTATAATATTATTTTTACCCTACCGACCATGGATAGAGAAATTACAAAATATTTTTTCGAATTGAACTTTATCCCATGTAATATAATCTGAATACTACGGATTAATCTAACTACCACATACATTCTACACACCAAAAAATGTCCGCTATTACAACCAAATTCGTTACAGACTACAAACTCACCAATGAAATGTGTCTTAAAGAACTCAGTCAGTATGCGTCAGAAATGTGTAGCCTCTTGATAAATGATAGAGAGAAAAGGCATTAGACGTGTAATCGTCTCCAAAAGGGGTATAAATTTAGCAAAGAACAGGCATTTACATTGATTCCTGACCAGAGAATTGGGCGATACACAAGTCAAGTACCGGTAGTGGTCCCAGAAGCTGAAGTGAATATTAGTCTAGTTTCTGATAACGTCCTAAAAGGAGAGACTATTAAAGAAACAGCTCACCGTATTATCTGAGATAATCTTAGTGAAAGAGATGCAAAAGTGATATCTAAAACCTTAGAGGAAACATCTCCTGATGCTGTCGTTACCCTATCACGTCTTTCTAGGCTTTGAAGAGAATTGCGAACTCTCAATGCTTCAGAAAAAATAATCTCTGCTACGAAGAATCCAGAGACAACCAAATTATCTAATAAAATTCAAAAGAAACGTAGCGAGCAACGTAAAAATGAAGGGCTCCATTATCTAGACCACTTCTCGTTAGAATCAGTTAAAGAAAAATTGGATGAGTATGATGTATCTAATATACCTGACAAACAGGTCCTAGCTGATATAATGATCATGCTCTGTATCTGTCCTGCTGAAATTAAAATCTGCATATATCCAATGTGGCATAACTGGATACGTAAAAAACTGAGGTGAGCAGGATATTTCTCGAGTATTTAGATCACTGAAAAAGAATGAGGAGCGGGCTAAGCAATTACTTTTATGGATTCAAAATGCGATTTTTTCTGGAGAGTTAAGAGACCCTGGAAAGCCTAGATCTACATACTTAAGTGCATTTCTGAAGAAAGATAAATTTATTCCTAAGCCTTATGACTCGCTACTTCCTAGTTCTTTGCGTAAATTAGGATCGGTATTTGCTAGCATAATGCATATGCCTAAGAACCCATCAAAATTTAACACTTATGCTAGGAAAGCCCTTCGACATTCGTCCGACAGCCATGTTTCTCTATCTGATAGATATACTATAGTCAATTACAGAAAGCGGGGTCAACCTTATGATCAAGTAAGTCCTTTCAACATTTTTGATGAAAACGGTTCATAAGGAATCAAACTAATCACATATATGGGTTAGAGGAGATCCTAAAGGAATCAGGTCAGAAGGATTAGCTTTCCTAACCTGATATCATTTTTAAATTTATTTTTTCATTCGCCTAAGATATAGCATATATAAATATCACGAAAATGGTAACTGATCAAAATTATTCATTTGATGTATCCAGCGAGCAGAAAGTTATCAGATATATGAAGAAATTAGTCCAGATATTTGGACTAAATGAGCAAAATGCAGAAGTGTATAGTGCACTTTCTAGCGAAAATAGGACACTAAAGAAACAATTGGAAGATTATCATTCCCAATACAACATTTTAGAAAAGAGAGTAAAAAGATTAGAGAGAGAGACGTAAAGTCCTTAGAGACTGAATTAGAAGATCTGGACGAATGTGTGGATAAGGAAACTATGATTGACTTAATACAAGAAATAGTTTCCTTGCTGATTAGTAAAAAAGGTAAAGATTTCTCCTATTCGTCTGAGTCTTCTAAAGAATCTGATTCAGTTAAGACGATAAGAGAGCGAAAAGCTATTCCTCATGCTTTTGCACCTTTGGCTAAGCAAAAAAGAAGGCATGGCTGAGAAGAAGGTCCGAGATAGTAATCATCAGCTTGAAAGAATTTGCTAAGCCACAAATTGTGCAACAATAACCTTATTTTTCGATTGAAAAAATCTTCTAACCATATAAAAATGCATATAGTTAATTTGCTAGAACAACTTCCGTCAGAATTAATACCATTTATTTTAAAGGATCTTTCAAACCAAGATCTAAAATATGTTAGCAGTATAAATGATATATGGAAAGAGAGGTAAATCTTGAACAGTCCAGAATAGTTCTCACAGATTTTCGATTTAATATTAACATATGCGCTAATGCAAATTACATTAGTGAAAAAATTGTGAAAATAGCATACACAAAAGACAATAGTAATCCTAGAGTAAACGGGTTTCTAGGTGAGTCTTATTCTACATTAGGAAAGGATAATCTACATATTATCTTAAATGCTGACAAGAAGCATAAAAGCATACCCACTGAATTCATAGTTACTGGATCAGATTGGCCTGATCAATTTCCTGAAATACTCTTGGGTTTACCATAGATGCAGGAAAATGGTGTAAGCTTGAATATGCATAATTCAACACTAACAATAGGTACACTTAAGTATACAATCCCATATCAATTCAGCTGATAGTTAAATTGAGCTATGACTCAATCTAACCAATAGTCTGAATCAGTGAACATCACCCGCATAATTTTATTTTTCATTTAAAGATACAACATATAAACAGAATATTTAGCTAGAGGCGCTTCGCATGACGCAATCAAGTATCTTTTATTTACCAGAACTACTAGAACAGATTTTACATTTTTTAGCGATAGATAAATCTCTTTACCCCGCTCTATTTGTTAACCGATTTTGGTATAGATGTGCTATTCCTAGCTTATGGAAATATATCGAACTAAAGGGAATAACTTGAGATATGGGCACTATTTTTCAGATGGATATACTTATAGTAAGAGAAATCGTACTTAATGGAAAATATTTGTAAAAATAATGTGTAAAAAGAATAAGCCAGCTTATGTTTCGAATACAACCCATCTAGAAATTACTTATTACCATTCACTTTCAGATAAAAAAATAAAAAGTATTGCAAATACATTTCTGAATATAATTCATTTAGATTTCAAAGAAAGTATAGGTTTTGGTGATAAATCACTATTTATAATAGCGGAATCATATCCTAATTTAAGATATCTCAATTTGTGGGATGCTCAAGCAATAACTGATAAAGGCTTATATGCGATCATACGATCATGTCGTAAATTAGAACATCTAAATATTTCTTATTGCAGAAATATTACCGATAAATCTTTGTTTGAAATTGTAGAAAATTGCAATGATTTACAAGAGTTCCATTTTGCCAAGCATATTGGATCACAGATAAATCTATAAATTGCATCTTAAACTCATGCCCAAATTTACGAAAACTTGATATTGCATATAGTAAGGGAGATATCAAAGATGCTAATACTTTAATGCGAAGATGTTTCAGCATAGAGTATCTTGAGTTTAGTGGGGTTATGGCTTTGTGGAATGATGAATTGATTATAGCCATCATCAAAGGATCTCCAAATTTAAGATACTTAGAAATCGATGGTAATGATATCACTGATAGAGTTACTGAAGCACTGGCCCACTCTTGTTATAAATTAGAATACCTTGATTTGAGTTGCTGTAGATTTATTAGTGAATTGTCAATCTGCAATGTTATACGTTCCTGCCCAAAACTCTAACATCTCAACCTTAGTTACTACAACATTACAAGTAAGACTATCGAAGAAATTGCTCACTCATGTCTCAATTTAAAATCTCTAGATTTGGAAGAATGTAAAAATATTAGCAAAAAAGTCATAGATCAGCTAAATCCAAATATTCATATCGAAAATTTTGATAAAGATTACTGCTGTTCTGATTCAGAATCTTCTAGCTCTAAATCTGAATCAGAGTCTGAATGATCTAGCTAGTCCTGAACTTTGTATTTATTTTTTCGATTAAAGATATGGCATATAATATATATTATTTAATCAGAGATGCTTCGCATGACACATACAAGTGTTTTTAATATATAGGAATTACTAGAACATATTTTACATTTCTTATTGATAGATAAATCTCTCTACCTACTCTATTTGTTTGCCGATTGTGATACAGATGCAGTGTTTCTATTCTATGGAAACGTGTTGAGTTAAATGGTGTAAATGATCGAACTCGATTAAAAAGATTTTTAAAAATAGTATCCGGAGGAGGGCGTAAACCAATTTATAGTTTGAAATTAACTCATATTAAAATATCAGACTACCGGCTTTCAAATAAAAAAATCAAAAGTATTGTACAGAGGTTCCAAAATATAATTCATTTAGATTTTGAAGGAAGTATGGAGTCTGAGTCCATTAGAAAAGTTCTAAAGCTAATAGCAGAATCATACCCAAATTTAAAGTATCTTAATATATCCGTTTTAAGTAATTTATTTCAATGAAAAATTGATAAAGATTTAACTGCAATTGCAGATTCATGTCATAAATTAGAATGTCTAAATATTTCTAATTGCACAAAGTTTTCTAAAATATCAATTTGCAATGTTATTCGTACTTGCCCAAGACTCTGGCAACTTGATCTTAGCTTTTGTAAAATTACTGATATAACGATTGAAGAGATTTCTAGTTCATGTTTTAATTTAAAATATCTTAATTTAAGAGGATGTTACAATATTAGTAAAGAAGCTGTAGATAAGCTAAATCCAAATATTCACAGGTGAATCAATTACTCGCATTGACTGAATTATGCGAATTCATATATTTCTTTTTTTTGATCACGTGGATGGCTTATCTAAAAGAGACTGTGGTATGTAAACCCAATCACCTAAAATACACCTATCTGAATACCATGCGCAGTAAGACGCCATTGGTTCATGTGAATTATTCGCAGAATATGATATACGCAGTAATACGCTAATTTTACAGATATGAGCATGTGATAGTGCATAACCGCAGTCATTATTTTTTTTACGTGGTTTCTGTCATACTGAATTACTAATAAAAATACATCCCTGATTTACATGCAGATCATAAGACGGGGTGTCGTTAAAAAGAAATTCAAAAATGAAAATAGAGCTGATTAGAATCAATGATTTGCAGGAGAATAAAACAAAAATAGATATATTACTATTATGATTTTTTAATAGTTTATCGACCTATAATTAGGAAATTTACGCCATTGCTCCTGATAATCATTTTAATTCCTATAATGGCTATTTTTTTCTCGATTAGATATGTCTGGAAGACGTCTAGTAAATTTCATGAATATAATATTCTGAAGTCGAGCTTCCCGGACTTGATAAAGTTTTTCAAAGCATCTTCACCGTAAAACGTCTTCTATAATCCCATCCAGTATATGTTTTCCTAGGGTCCTAATAATTATCCTGATAATCATCACTATCTTCTTCGTCGCATCTAACAATAAAAAATTATTCAGCGATATATGTTATGCGCAGTACCCAATAATACGTTATTATTACACTTCTCCGCAGTAACCATACTGTTTTAAGTGTCATATAATACCGTTCCCTCTGAGTTTAGTGTCAAGTAATCCTTTATGCAGTTGTAAGTGTCATATGATATTACTCCTTCTGGAATCAGTGTCAAGTGATTCTCTACATATATACCATTGCAAGTGTCATATGATATTGCTCCCTCAAGGCTAAGTGTTAAGTGACTCTTTACATATATACTTATTATGATACTACTTCTATTAGGTCAGGAACCTGTAAAATTCTTTCGATTTGAGCTGCGATTACATGATAAAAATTATATCCAAAAATTTTGATCTTTGAAAAAATAAAAATAAAAATAAATAAGATATTTATTAAATATGTTTGGCCAATGCTTTCTATTATGCCTACATTAAAAAATAAATTAGAGGCGTGATCATTTTTTTAGAATCTATATATATGTAAATATACACAGCGTTAGCCAATAATGTTATTCAATCAATCTGCATTGGTATCCCTTCCTCATTTAGATCTAAATCATCAAATTGATCTTTAAACCAATTTGGTCAAGAAGAATTCGCTCTAACCCTTTCTTGAATGATCTTTATTTTTTTATCAGACAATTTTCCAAAAGATGATGGTGAGATTCTCCTAATTCGCTTGATCTCGACTCTTCCTAAACCTTCCATTTTAAATATGTTGTAAATATTTTTAGCTGAGCGTTTTTTCTTGTTAAAGATATTACGAGATATGTCAGAGGAAAATTGTCACTTAATTTCTGCATTAAGCAAGATTCGTGTGGTTTGAAGAGGGTGAATGGATGTAAATTCAGCCAATTTCTTCTCCAATGCTTCCCCGAGAGGATAGTATGAGTCAAGGATTTCATATTCTATGTGGGATACTTCACATGTCTTTTCTTTAAGAATCTTTTCAGCATCAAGTATTTTATTGTGTAATTCGACGAATGCTATATTTGAAGTTGTGGGGTTCTCCGTTTCCACATTTGTCATCAGCAACGGATTAAAGTCTTATGGTCTTTTGGATAACTCTTTAAAAAATTTTTTAACCCTATCTTCTTCTTCTTGAGGATTTAACCTTGCATCATCATCCTCACCAAGATAAATAGGTCGTTGACAACGAAGACATGTCGTATATTATTTTAAGAAAATAATAATACATCTAAGATAGAAGCTATTAAGATAGGACAATCTCACGACTGGTTTCAGATTAGCTCCATCAAGTTCGAATAATAGATCAGGTTCATTACAGAAAAAACATGTTTCAGATCCTCCTTGAGCGGATTTCCTTTGAGAATTGATAGGTGCGATGAGTTGAATAGTGTGATAAGGGATACTTCTGTCAGGTATATCCTCATCAAATATTTCTTCTTCAATGGCCAATGGAGGGATGTTATTAGATCTTTCTGATTCCATTAGTATTTTTTGAGATGTGATTTATGGAAAAAATGTTATTATGAGCGAAAGGAGAGAGTTTTTATACTTTCTGAATACTCCACTCGTGATCGTGAAATTGTAATAACTGGAACTTGCTAGAAGAAATACTCTTATTAGTCTTTTGGATGATAAAGGTCTTTATTATCAACTGAAAATACATAATAAAGTATTTTTGCCTAGACTTGAGCGGAAACTTTGGCATCAGACCTAAGATCTAAATTCATGTGATCACAGATATATAGTTTACTCATATTACATATAGTTTACTTTATCAAAATATAATAAAAAATTTTATTGATTATTCAAAACATATATATACCAAAGGTATCTTAATATTACATATGTGTCTTTGTATTCTATGACCAGTTATGAAAAAAAAATAGCTAGGTTTATTAGCAAATAACGCTATTGATATATTATTCACTACTAAACCTAATCCTCGTACTTGAAATCAATACCAGCGTAATTAATAGTTACATTGATGACATTGGCGCTTTGGGAAAAAGAAGAGAGGGTAGGTGTAATTGGCTTAGAAATTGCAGATGTTTCGAGAGATAGTGTGATCGATCTTAAGGTAATTGGGAATTTTCGATAGTTTTAGACATTCTCTTGAATGATGATGCGGCCTCATTCCTGTTACTCGTCTGATCTTCCACCATAATTAATGGTAACATTGATCACATTCGCATTTTGCGAAAAAGAAGGGATAGTTGGGTTACGGGTCTGGAGATATTAGATCATTCAACAGTTGGTGTCATCAGTTTTAACAGGGTGAGTGATGATGTCTTAGGAAAACTCGTACTACTTGACCTAACATTTTCATCATGTACCTGCTCGAATAGAAGTTCTAGTGAATGGTGATGGATAGAATCGTGTTAATTTAGAGATAATCATCAGCTTATTTTCTACAGAAACATACTTGGTTTTAACTAGAATATCGTTGAGAACTCTTCGTAAATTTCTTCGCCAACTAAACTTCTTTTCGTTCCAATACCTTCTTTATATTTTTTCGCTGTCTAAAATAATAATATGCATTATTGACCAGTCAGGTCTTCATAGAAAACAAGCAGGACACTACTTACATAAAAAGCTTTCGTAAGACCAAAGAATTTTTTATGGCAGGCGTTACCAGTGAAGTAATTAGTATTTTCTTGATCATTTATTTTTTCTGCAATCTCGTTCCAAAAGAGATACTTCTTTTTATTTGTAATAGTGTGATACTCCACATTTCTATTTTTCGTTCGTCAATGAGAATGCGAAGCTGGGCATTAGAGAACTCCATAGTTGATTACATAGTAAGAAGATTTTCTAGGGACTATTATATAAAAAAATATTGAATGATGTATTAGGATCATTGCGAGGCAAATTTAATCGATCAATATAATAATTAATCAAATAATAACGGTAGCTTAGCTATCATGTCAATAAATCAAGGATGGTGAAATCTGATTGACTGATCATCTCGTGATTTATAGATACTTGCCAGCACCTGAAACATTCCTAGAACTATCGAGGAACTAGTAGGAATCTAGGGTGATACATGTGATATATGTCATGCCTCAAACTGATTTAGCCAGGTACTTGTGTATATGCATATAAATATAATTAGCTTAGCTAGCAAGATATGACCTATATAAATCCTATAATCGAATAAAAAAATGAATCTGATATTTTATTATAATATACTTGCTACAAACCGCTATAACAAGAAATATTTGCTAAGAACGCTATATATCACTAAAATTACTATAAGTCTTATTTATTGTTCATAATCACATATAATTATCAAATATGCCCGATGCAATGGTTAAGATCATATTAGATAAGATTTATAATAAAACCATACCCAAACCTATCAATCTCCGCCCTGGATATGATATGGAACATGTTTTTAACTATCGACCTCAAACTGATAACTATTGGTATGAAAAAGTGGTTGAAATAGAAAAACAATACGATTATTTATCCATTATTAGACCTTATAAAACTCCTCAACAATGGGCTGTTCGTATAAGGGCTCCTTTACAAGAACTACTTTCTAAGCGAAAATATAGTTTATACTATATGTACTGCCTTTTCAGTTCATTTGAGCAAGTAGAATCTAAAACATACTATATTAATGGTGAGCTATATGAAGATCACTTCCAATATTGTAGACCTAGTATCCATAAAAGTCAAATGGCTATTTGCTTCAAATGCTCAAAATTGGTGAAGATTACAGAAGTAGAGCCTAGAAAGGAATATTATAGTGGCTGGAGGAGATGGGATTATGAAGTTGAATCCGAAGATTTGATAAAAAATCATTGGAATTACTTTTGCTTCAAGGCTAAATTCGTAATTATAGTAAAAAATACTATGGCAAGTGCTCCTGTTACCTCTGATAACCAAGAAATGATTTCACCAACCTCTAGTAAAATATTTATCTCGTCTCTATATGCAAAACAGCCAAAAGGCACTGTGTTAAGATTGAGGGATGGAACAGAAATCACAGTAGTTTAACTAACTGATTCTGACTATTACTTTCGACTGAATAATAACATTATTTATCTCAACTATATTCTGTTTTTTTTTACGCTATATAATTTGCATGTATGATCGCTTGTGAAATGTATCACCTGCAGGATAAAAACCTGATTTACATATTCTGGGTTAGATCCTCAGCAATATATTGTATAACTATTTTAATAAAGTATTTTTCGAGTAAGATCTCGAATATTATATTATTCAGCCATGCGAAATACCTCAAGGCCAATGCATGTAAGCGTGTACGACATAAGTTAATATATTTTCGATCCTCATTAAAGTAATATAATATATATGATATAATGTTGAGATCTTTAATGCACATTCCGCATGCCCTTATTCTCAAAAAAAATTAGTATAAAGTGCTTTGCATATTCTTCTGTCTCTTTCCCAATATGATTGCAAGTCTAGAGGGAAGTAAATGGAGTCATTTAAAAGAACAGTATAGTAAAATTATTATGCCTTTATGTTATTTTTTACTTCGCTTAGCAAAGCTTTCATTAACATTTAACCTTCACTTTATTAAAACATGAAAGAGTTTCTTTTAACAAGAAAATCCTTCGATATCGTTAGAATTTCTACAGCATTATTTGTACAAGTAGAAGAAGGTGAATGGACGGGTGTCTTTGAAAAGAAAGTGAAGAACTTTGAAAATATTCTAGAGTGAATATTAGGACAAGTTCCCTCAGAGGATATTGAGCGAATAAAGAAGCTTCAGAGCTTTGGTACCGGAAAAAATTGGAAAAATGGGTAAGGTAATAAGGGGAGTGACATATATTACCTAATATTTTAGGGGGTGGGGGTAACAGAAAATCTTAGGTTACACATAATATTATTGGTCACGTGATATGGCTTATACTCAATATTGCGATATT